GGAACCACCTACACTGATATTTGTGTTTATAAGGAGAGATTGTAGAAAATTTACATCCATTTTTGAAAATATTTAGGACTCAGGAACCACCTACACTGATATTTGTGTTTATAAGGAGAGATTGTAGAAAATTTACATCTATTTTTGAAATATTTAGGATTCAGGAACCAACTTCACTGATATTTGTGTTCAGAATAGAGCTGCTGTTTTGTGAGGCACATGCACTCATTTTTGCTTTCATAAAGAGAGGTCGTAGAAAATATACATATTTTTTTTAAAAAAGATTTAGGATTCAGTCACAAGAAATTATTCTTCCTGTTTGATAATTTACTATGTAACACTATCTTTGACAACATTGGATTTTGCTGTTTAACCTTCGTCTGCTTTGAAATCAAGTAATTTTAAATAATTAAAATGATGCATATAAATTTGTTATCATTGGTGGTATTGCTTTATAAGAAAATATCATTTGAAGTTGATATTTGATATTGAAATCGTAAAAATGTCATATATGTGTAGTTGAAGGTAAAAGTAAATCTTGTGAAAAGTAATTAGAGTTCTCAATGACTGGATGTTTGAAATGTATTTTAAGATTCAGTGTGGTAGCAAGTATAATTATAATAAAGTCAAGTATACGTATTGGTAAGATTTTATAGCCTATTCACTGTACTACCAATATATACGTTTTGTATAATATTTTTTTTTTGTAGATTCGAGGGAAACATGCAGTCTTACAATTTATTGGCAGTGACTTCTACTGTGGGTAGTCTGTCCTACAGTACTGGTACACAGGTAAAATCTTAATGTCAAAAAAGTTGTCCTTAAGGTTTTGATAGATTTTGTAGTAGATTTTAAATGTTGATGTCTGCATAGAAAATGTGTTTAAAAGGAAATATATTTTCTTAACTCTATAGATATTTACTGAACTAGAACTACCAGCCGAAAGGTAAATTGTGAAAATACCAGGTATGTGTGGTAACAAATTTGTTGTCACCGCAGAACAAGTTTAAAGGGATTATCTCCCTAAGATGAATTTTTTAAAGGACAATAATTTCATAGATCAATTGAATTCAAATGGCCTTTTTCTAAATGATACCTGTGTCACCTTTGTCTTTCTGTATTACAGTCTGGGCAGATGTTCCCCCCAGCTATCCTTCTGGACTTCTACCCACTGGCAGCTTACTGTAATGATGTGCTGTCTGCCTTTAATGAGCTACGTCTGTGTGCCCCCATATCTCTAGCCTGTGATATCGCCGAAGTTCTCCAGGATGCTCTTCTACAGATCAGCCGCATCACATTGGCTTATTACAGGTTTGTGTTGTAAAACTGTTTGATATACACTTGAGTCTTGATACTATATAGATGCATTTGTAATACGTACTGGGATTTTATTTTGTTATATACATGGTCACCAAAGATAGCATGAACTTAAATACCAAGTGTCACCCTGGTAAAATACTAGCCGCTTCCTACCGTCTCGGCTGGGGAGAATTTTTCTTTAGCTCATTCAGTAGAGCGTAAGACTAGTAAACCAGAGGTTGGGGGTTCGACTCCTAGCGGAGGCATGAAAAATAATGACCTCTGCTACACAAGAAAGTATTGTTACAATGGACCATTGTATGGATTATATGTTAAAATTAAAAGCAAAATAAGTACCTGTTTACTGCTGAATAATGAAGATGAAACGACAATTCAATATCACGTTTTACTTTATTTTCACAATAAAACCAATAAACCCCATCACCCAGATACAGACGTACCACAGTGAGATCAGTGATACTTTTACCTGCTATGTTGTACGAAATTTAATCTCTGCAAAATAATTCTGACTGGGACAACAGTGAAATATTAGCCCTGCAAAATTAAACAACTATACTGTACATACCTGCCATCTCTCCCTATTTAGGAGGGAGGCTCCCGATTTTGGATCCTTAAAGTTAGTATTTTCAACCAGTGAATTTGCTAATCTATTCCTATATTCTAAGATCTAATGACTTCATCTGAAAGAACAACACACAGCATGTCATTTTAAAGGGTTATTTTGTCTCTAGGGGGTATACACACACATTTTATTGAGGTTTGATTAGTAAGACTAAGTATGACTGTAACCTGACAAAATTTCCTGGATCTACAGGGCAACCATATTGGTGGCTTGTTAGGTGTGGGTTTGGTTCCAGATAACAAACTCCAAAATAATGATTCATAATAAAGATATGTTTATTTCAAATGATGCTATAATTGAATAAGTGTAAACTTTTGTCTATATAGGGCAGAGGAGGCGACCTTTGACCCGAGGGAGAAGGACCACTTTTGTCAGTTCTGTCAGATATATGCCACAGATCTGCTGCCCTATCTCAACAAGTGTCTGCAGCAGTTATTCCCCCCTGCTACACTGGCTCAGATTCTCGGTGTGACCCTGACAGACCTTAATAAGATGGTAAGTTGTGTTGTAGTTTACAATTGACTCGGGTCGCTCTTGTATATATAGTTCATTTGTTCCAACGGTCTGAACCTGAAAGAAAACAAGAGGCATGCATCAAAACTGAAGCTGATCTTCAGAAAATTTGGCATGTGTCAAGGGGTCTAAATATGCCTGGCCAAAGTTAGACATATGTCATAAGTTTTACTACACGGGTGAAGGAGCTTATATAATTCTAGATTTAATGTTATTTATTTGTCACCAAACTCCAAAACTCTCAATTTTGAGCTCTGCCTATTAAGCAGCACTTTCCCCTCTAGTCTAAATGTATTTTAGTGCCACCAGTACCGTTTCTACCAGGACTTTAATTTAATGTTTACTGGAGTTATTTCCCCTGCTCTGCTGGGATTCACACACCGGTATGGAAGTAGGGGAATACTCCTTTATGTAGAATAACTGCCTTTTCTGCCTTTTTAGGAGTAAAGCCAGAAACTGTTCACTGCATGATAATAATTTTACTCATGTTAAACTTTACTTACATTGTATGTTAAATTTTACCTATTTAGATTTTAGATTTAGAGATCAACAGTTTTGTCCTCCAAATTGCCAAAATTAACATGGTCACATCATTATTGGCATTGATTTTATATCAAAAGCATTTCCTTAAATACTTTTTCGGTGCAAGTTTTGGTATATATACAATAGTAGAGGAAATTGCATTCAAAGAAATATCATCTACGCTGACTACAATAGCAAACATTTCAATACTGAATATGTTAGAAAATACATATATTGAGATTGAGTGTAACTTTACCATACATACCATATTTAATGATTTGAGTGTGAGACTCACGAAAATTACATAAAAAAAAATTCCTATATTAAGAATGTAATTGTTTTTAAATGGTCATATCCCATATTATTGTGCATGACAAAACGAACAGGAAGGTTTTAAAATGTACTTTTTATCAATTTATTACAATTATATTTGACATTACCCGTATGTCTTTTGTACACCATTAATAATTTACTGTACAGTTGCATTTCATTAAAACTGTCAGTGTGAGGCTTTCGTGACATCACTATTTCCATGGTTACAGGGAAGCCTGGGATTGGTGGATATTTTGGCAGTCCTCGACCCCATCTCCCACTTACTGCCTCAGAAGGAAGATATAAATTCCGTCCAATTGGATATCGGCAACGGTGCAACAACCCAAACAGATGTAGGAAGTGTTACAAAAAGCAACCAATTAGATTCAATCAGCCTCACAAATATTGACCAATCAGAGCCAGTGGGTATTTCAAAAAGTGACCAATCAGATTCTTCTACAAAACCACATGACCAAGCCAAATTGGAGGTGGATACTACTCAAAATCTTACGGATGAAGCAAAACCAGTGTTAGAAGTTACAAAAGACCCAGTTGACCAATCAGATTCTGTATTACTTGGTGAGATAAAAGACTTGAGCCTTGAGGAAACTAAGCCCAAGATAACCTTTACCACTGGGGAGGGGGAGAGTGATGACAATGAGGACGTGTCTCTCACAGCTCCTACAGACAGTCAGGACAGCTCAACAGTCACAGCTCCTACAGACAGTCAGGACAGCTCAACAGTCACAGCTCCTACACACAGCCAGGACAGCTCAACAGGCTCTGTATCAAACACGCAGGATCACCTAGATAAAAAGGATGACTGAGAGGAATTATTATTAATATGTGATACCAAAGTTTTACTTTCTACACAAACAATGTATGTATTCAACGTGTCGCAATGTTTCAAGACCGACTGGTCCCATTGTCAATCTTTGACTTGCAGTCAGTTACAGCTTGTCAAAGGGACCAGTCGGTCTTGAATTGTTGTAACACATTTTATACATACATTGTTTGTATAGAAAGTAAAACTTTGATATCACATATGTATTTCCAAAGCGATAAATCTTATTGAAGATATTATTAATATGGTTATATTTCGGGCTTACAAATATTTAATTCTTTGGTGTATGAAAGGGCCATTATATGATATACAGGGTGAAGCTTACAGGCTGAAATAAGTTTTTATTTCAGAAAATGTAATTTTGAAGTCAAAGTTTTATATTAATTTTTCTTAGGTTACCGCAATGTTCACTACTAATCTTTTGATATTATACTAAAGTAGATATTTCACGGCAGATTTCACAATAGTTCATGCTTGGCAAAAATTGCTGCTCTTTACGTACTTTTGGCAGTGTAAAAGCTGGGTATTGAGAGCCACATTTATACACCAAGCAGTAACTACTGGTGTAACTTGTTTTAATGATGCCGATAGTCCTGGGATCCTTCGAACCACTTTTATATTTTGACCACGACCACAGCTTATGTGTATGGTGTTAAAATGGAGTCTTGAGAGCCCTTTTCATTTATCAGGACAATAATTATGCAAAAAATGGGAGTTCTTTGAGCAACTTTCAAACAACAGCTTATAACCACAGATTATTTATATGGTATAAAATCAGAGTCCTGGTAACCATTTTCAGGTACCAAGGCATGTTATGTATTTATATGGTTTCAAAAAAGTCTCGTTAATTTGCATTGAATTCCACCAGTATTGTTGCGGAATACGTGGTCGATTATGTGTAGTCTCCGGGAAAGTCTGTCTGCTGCAGTAATAGCATAATGTTTTAAAGTCCTGGTTTCTCAAATGTACTTTTAGCATAAGTTAAGATTTTCTTTTTGGCTAGGTAAGCAATGTTTCTTTCTGTGAGGATTTTTTTCATATCAGAAAAAAAATAGGAAAATGTTTTGTGAAACTGAAGTTAAGTATCAAACTTTTATGTTTCACCCCTCTCTGCTTCTTAGTGTCGACATTTCCTGTCTGGCGCACTTGTTAGTGTGAGGCATGGGCAACGATCTTTGTAGAATCAAGTGCTATGGTGATTTAATGCGGCTGATGACATTCCAGATTCTTTAGATCCAGTTGTGCTCTGTGCGTTGGGTATGGACTACACCACTGTGATATAGAACTCAGTTAAAAATGGAATCCTGAAGATTTTCAGGGTTAGAAAAATTTATGTCAGGGAAACATGATAAAGGGGGAGAAGAGCCAACGCCGTTCCAATATTAGGTAGGATCCTTTTGTTGGATGTTGGCTGGGAAACATTATGTTATTTACCCGATTTCTGTTTCTGATCAATGTTGATCTAGAAGAGATTTAATATAGTTGATCCACCAACAATTTAGATATATGTATGGTTGATTTATGCATGAATGATGGTGAATAAAAATATAAGGAACCTTGTTACATTGTTTGTCCTATCATAGCATTACACATTGTCGTATGTTTAATGTCATACTATTTTCACTTTGAGAAATCTCCCTCTAAACAGAATCTCCTATCTGTGGTGTTAATTTTGCCTATTAACTCATTCACCCCTGAAACTTTATAATGAACTATACCAACCTTTGAATTGGAAGAGTTCAAATGTGTCGTCAAGGGTGAATGAGTTAACTGGTATGCTGTGTAATAATATTAGCTGTAAAAAAATGCATGTAATGTTCCCTCATAGTGAAGGATAGAAATAGCAAAAATTAAGTTATGAACCCATTGACAAGTGAGATGTTCTACATGGTAATAGAAAGTCGCAGAAATATTATATATAATTACCAACTGAAAATTTCAGCTAAATTACCATAACTTAATAAATAATAGTTCATACATGTGTTTATATATAACACAAATCCAAAGTGTTCAGAAAACTTCAACAGCATTTTTCTGAAATATTTGTTGTAAAATCATTCTATTTAATATGTGGTTCCATGCTTACCTTTGAACAAAATGTACAAAAAAAGTTTTTATGGTTTTGCCATACCCAGTGTGTTTGCAAATGTTCCTGTTTTCAAGGAAATTGTCAATACATCACAAATTGTCAATGTTAGCAAATTTTCCCATTACTTTTCTGAAAATTTCTGGATTTGTAATTAGTGGTATATGCTTTGAATAAAAGCAGCAAAATGTAACCAGAATCACTAATTTGACTACATTGTATTTAAAACAAATCTAACCCTACTTTTGAAATTCATAGGATCTTTTTTCAATTCTTTAAAAAATCACTTGAAATTCTTGGTAAGAATGCACAAGTTTAATGATTAACTCATTCACCCCTGAAATTTCATAATGAACTACTCAAAGCTTTGAATTGGAAGAGTTCAAATGTGTCTTTAGGGGCGAATGAGTTAAGTAAGTTGATTCAAAAAGCCTAATAAAGTTAATATTTACTGCAATGTAAGGCCATTTCAACTATTTAGGCCTCACCATTGGTACTAACAGACAAAAGATTCAAGATCCATTACCTTTGAGTCCTGAAAGGGCTAAACAACCGTATGGTGTGCGGAACTCAGTTTTAGTATCTACGATCAAATTTTATAATAATGATATAATAATAATTTGTGGTTCTTATATACCGCTTTATCATATCCTAGTTCATAGGTCGTCTCAAAGCAGTTCTCAAAGTATTATCCATGGTTATAGGGCCTTTGCAACCAGCCAATATCTGTCTAAACTCCCCGGGGAGCATACAGCCCATGCTGCCATTTCAGCGCTCACAGCTACCATTCAACAATTCTAGCGCTGCCAAACCACATACTTATTTACAGCTGAGTAGACTGGAACAAGTGGAGTTAAGTATCTAGCTCAAAGATACAACACAGCGCTGTGCCGCGACTCGAACCCACAACCCTTCTGTCACGAGCCCGGCATCCTACCACTAGACCACTGTAACTCCGTACATATATATATGTGCAATCGTATGTGTGCATTTTACGTTCATCTCAAAATCTCTATAGAAATACAGGAAAACGTGGAGGTGTCTATTAACCTTTATAACATTACAGTATTACAAAAAATGGCTACAACAGATGATATGTTATAAGCTAATATTATCTACTCCTACACAGGTGGAGTATACATTGGTCTGGGGTGGATGTTGGGTATCTGTGTCAATATGGATAGTGACAGCACCTACTCAATAACCCATCTTATTAATAAAACTAAGTGGGATTCATGTTGATAGTCACAGTATCTACTCAATAACCCATTTTATTTATAGAGTTAAACTAAGGTCCATAGGGCTAATGACAGTACCTACTCAATAACCCATCTTATTTATAGAGTTAAACTAAGGTCCATAGGGCTAATGGCAGTACCTACTCAATAACCCATCTTATTTATAGAGTTTAACCTTGGTCAATAGGGTTAATGGCGGTACTAATTCAATAACCTACTTTAATTATATTGTTAAACTTAGGTTCATAGGGATAGTACAAGCATGTACTCAATAACCCATCTGAATCCTAGAGTTGATTTAGGTCCATAGGGATAGTGACAATACCCATTCAATAACCCACCTTAACTATAGTTAAACGGGCTCAATATGGATAGGGGCAGTACCTACTCAATAACCATTTTATCGCCAAGAGTTTACCCGAGGTCTGTGTGGCTACAGGGGTGGGATCACCTCAATAGTAACTCTCCTTGGAAAAACATTTTTTGAAGGAATTAAAACAATTGCAGAAATAACTGACATGAAAAATCTACTAATATGCATCATTAATTGACCGCTACGCGATATGGGCCTTTTCATTAAAAACTCTTTTGAACGAAGAACGACAGGTTCGCAACGTGCTAACATAGTACTGCATGAAAAACCCATTTATATCTGTTATTTGCAGTTCGATTCATTGTACATATATCTTTTGGTTGTAATATGTAATGAAAATTAATTGAATTTGTGAACTGTGCAGCAAACACATAGAATCGTTACATCAGTATTTTGTACTTTTAAGAATGACATTGACAACTTTGCATGTGACTTCTAAGTAGAGGTACAATCTCGAACAAAATCATGAGGTACGGTTGTGAATCGTCAGACCAGGAAGATTTTTGAAGTCCTCTATGGTTATACAGCGTTAAGCACAACTCATGTATATTCTTATCTGTGTTTCTAATTGTCCAGTCAAGTATCACATATATACAATAGCTCTTAATTGATAATGTATCCATTGGTATACTTGTTGGGAGACACAATGTGCATACTACATTGGTGTAATGTGGTTCCTCAAACATATCACTGCCATTATCTGCTCCACAGCTGGAATGGTACCGGCCGATTGGAAGCATTCCAATTGATTCGTGAACAATGTGGAGACAAAAGGAGCTGTCTACCTTTGATTTTGACGTTAATGGCCAGGAGTATGCCGAGTTAACCCTCGTGACTAAACTGTTCAATCATTGCCATTGCTAGTGGCTTTCAAAACGGTAAAAATTAAGCATAATTGAGATGTGTGTTCGGAAACTTTAGTGTTCGATATTGTTGGTCCCATATTTGTGTGTGGAAATGTCCTTGAATGCTAGGTACGGTTAAATAAAGAATTTCAGACAATGTTAAGTCTCATAAATAATGAGTTTAAAACCCCTTTCATTAAATATTTCAATCATGTTAATTTCTTGTGTAGCTCACAGAGATTGTGCGATGAAATTTATAATAAACACTCAACAGGGAAATGTTGAAATTTACAAAACTCGGCTAAGTACAGAAAAAACCCTGAGGTAATTTGGATTGAAAAACGGTAATTGTAGCTTGTTGAATTTTCTCACTGATGTAATGAAAGACATTAATATTTTCGATAAGAAAATGCATCATGAAAAAATCCCTAAAATCGAAATCGTATAAGGATTTCAAAAATCAATTTTTGTGACAAGTCTTTGTTGTAGTGTTTTAGATGATGTTTGCGGTGTTTTGTTGTTGTTGGTATTTGGGTCACAATGTCTGTTCGGGGTGTTAATAAGGCTGTCTACCGCTAACGTCACGCCCTGTAAAAGAAGAAAGAAAATTCTGTCGACCTTGCCTATTCTCTAATGCAGGCATATGGTCTGTTCATTAAATTGACGAAAGAATATTGTTGTTAATATCTCAGAAAAAAAAAAAAAAAAAATGAATGTTAGATTTACCACATATAGTTTAAGAAATACGGACCAAATACTCGTGATTATACTTGGTCGAAATCTCAAGATCAATTTATTTTTTATTTTTGTGTTTATTAAGGAAGGTCATGTTGTGCAACTCTAAAGCACGTCTTTTGTTTGTTCATCAAACATAAAATACTATGTGTTTATGAAATATATTATCAAATATGTATACCACAAAGTCAATTCACAAGGACAAATGCAGAACCCAAAGTGGATAAAATGGATACAACACGAACCAATGAGACACCAAAACAAAACGAAAGACATCATGACCCACTTACAAAAACCGGAGGCGAAAACAGGTGTTATATATAAAAAATAAATTGCATATGTAAATGCATTTGTAACAAGGAGGGATGTCAGATATACGTTAGCAATGGTCTTAGACAAAGTGGGCATATCTTTATTCTTGTTTTTGAACATGTCTTTTAGTGGCTGATAATGAAATATGAGAGTCAGAAGTCAGGAAATGTTAAAATCGAATACAACATCAACAGGTAAAGACAAAGAACGTAAATTAACAATCGCGGAATCAAAATCTTCAGAAATATAAGCGTTTTCTGTACTGTATGTGGCGGCCATCATGGTGTCCTGCCCTAAGAAGTATATACATCACGAACGTCCTGATATACGGTGAAATTTCACTTAACCGTGTTGAGTTGTATATATTATTTTGTTATAATATATTAATTTCATGTAAAAGTTTGTCGTAGGAAATCAGTGACAATATGATAATGTTATCGGTTAGTCTAATAGGGAAATCAGTGACATCATGATAATGTTATCGGTTAGTATAATAGGGAAGTCAGTGACATCATGATAATGTTATCGGTTAGTATAATAGGGAAATCAGTGACATCATGATAATGTTATCGGTTAGTAAATAGGGAAGTCAGTGACAACATGATAATGTTATCGGTTAGTATAATAGGGAAATCAGTGACATCATGATAATGTTATCGGTTAGTATAATAGGGAAATACGACGTTTTCGTGACGACGCCAATTTCAAAATAATGAATTTGGATGTCTTGAAAAGTAGTAACTTTCTGCCATATTCGTATATAGCAATCAGCTGAGATTAATGGAAGTCGTCCCTTCTAGTTGAATGCATACACAAATATAGGCCAATCTGTTGAGGAAGTTTAACAATCGCCAACATGACCTGAAGTGTATTTAGTTTTTCTATGATTATTACATACTGACCACTTTGTCCAAGGGCGTTGGTGACATGCATCCGTCCTAAGGACAACATAACGAGTGCCACTTACAATG